TACAGTCTGGGGGGTCACAAAAAGGCATTGATCAACCAATTCATTCAGTGACGAACTCTACAAATCCACCAGTCATACCTTCTCAGGTGATTGGAGACATTGTAGGTCATACATCCAGTCATACATTAGGGAGTCTAGAAGTCAATAGGGATCCAGTCATTCCACTCAGGTGAAGGAGGACATTGTAGGTGCCAGTCAGTCGGGTCCACGGTAGTACCGAACGGTGAGGTTCGCTACGACCGATCCCTATAGCCTTCCGGGAGGGGCGCCGAATCCATCTGCGTCGGATCTGCATGGTCCCCAAAGACCCTAGCCTTCCAAGGCGAAGCATTTAGAAGAGTTCCGCTGACCTAGTTGTGGTGTCAAATGATTGGTAAAACCATTAAACCAATGGTGGGCCAGGATTCCAAGAATGAATCCACCTTCTGGGTCTGTAAGGAAAATCACTCCAAAAGGGTTCACCGAACCACGAATTACCAAGCCCGGAATCGCGCAACTCTTTTTTTTGAAGCGAATAACAAAGCAGCTTCACGACCTGGGCCGAGGGCAACGGGCTTTACTCACTGGGTCACTATGTCTACGGTGGGGTTGAGAATTTATTCTACTTTCATCTACTTTCTGTTGGACTGTCTGTAGGTCCCCTATTCAACCCTGAGTGGTTCAGTAGTAGGGTTTCTAGGGACCCAGAGTACACCTAAGGGCAGTCAGGCTCTCAACCAACTAGTCCTTAGGATCACTATTCCCTCGACACTATGAACAAATGCTGTTGATGGTATCACTAGTCGTCAGGAAGAAGCATACTCCAGGTCCATGAGCAAACACACCCTTTCACTTGGGTAAGGGAGGTGTGGGTCAACATGTCCCTGAATATCCCTCAATTCACTGAATGCTGTGCAACCAAAATTCAGGTATATACATGAATGATATGTTTTTGATGGAGCAGCAACTACTGGACTGAAGGAGATGTTGTGAATTTGTTCGAATCTTGAAGCCCTCCAAGGGAGACATCTGGAACCACTCGCAAGTCTTGGCATCCTTGAACCAAGAGCCAATCAGTCATCAGTGGGCATCAGTAAGTCTGGGAGCAAGGAGCCAATAGGATCATGGACTGCACAGGGCCCTTTACTCTTCAGAGTGGTGTGTATTTGAAGACCCCTCACCAACCATTCTTTGGGTCTATTTCCCTTTCCAAATGGACACCTGAATGGCTGGTTGTCCAAGCCGGCCCGGTCGGATAGATCGGCCCCGGTCGCCCCGTCCCACTGCCGGTCCCTCCAGGCAGTTCTCGCTTTTCCACGGAGTCCGGCAGAGGAACCGGCAAGCATGGATCTCTGATCAACAGGCTTTTCCAAAGTCACCGCGCGATCTGCGGCGATCTGAGATAGAATGCTGAACCATGGCCACAGAGAATTCTGGAGCCAAAAAAGGAGAGTGAAAACAAGTTGGATGCTTTCTGCCAAGGTCCCAGTATGGACACAACATCCACTCACTGGAGGGGTCCAACAGGTTAACCCAATTGATGGTATCCGGAGACATTCATCTATACTTCTCCATTGCAGAATCTATCATTTGCAGAGTCAAAGAGGAAGATCACCCATCTTCTGACCCTTCCACCGCTTCATCTAGAATCCACATCTTGTTTTCTCCCACTCCAATATGATCCAATATGTATTCAATAATATTATTCAAGTTTGCTTATTCTGAGAATGCAGTTTTTCCCGCACTCTTTGTGACCCAACCACAAAAAAGAATCCGTTGCTGCAAATCGCTTCTTCTCGGGCGAGCATCACCGCCCATGCCCCTTGAGGGCGCTTGGCCATGCCCCTTGAGGGCCAAGCCAAGCCCCCCGGTTCGCCGGCGGAATTCGACTGGAACGAGGGCGGACAGATCTCGACTGGGGTTCAGAGCCATGGATCCCAGCGAAATGGTTCGAGTGGGGTGATGGTTGTTTGGAGTGGACCATGAACCGTGGTCGTTTGAACTTCAGTTTTTAGTTGTTGAATGATTTTGAGGATTCCAATATATAGGACATATATATATATATATATATTGGGTCTATATCCTAATACCTGTAACAGTGGATGATGATGGTTAGTAAATAAAGGCCTTGTTCAAACATATAGCTAATGGGACCGACCCTACTTATATGGACTATATGAATCTGGTCCAGCTTGGTCCAGCTTGGACGTCATATCCACCTTTTTGGACCGTGATCTCGTCGACCCGTGTGGTCCACAAAGTGAATGGGACTGAGGTTGTTTTTTTCCGATCAGGCCAGAGGTTGTTCGGCCGACCTGGGGTGAAGGGGGCGGCACGCTGGCGTCCCTGACGGGGGTGGGTCTCTGCTGTTAAAAGAACTAAGCTCGTTTGGGTTCCTGGCCGCCCCCTCCGGCAATCGGTTCGCTGGGCCAGGGGTGGGTGGTCTTCGGGGTCGAATACCACCGAACCTGAGGAGATGGGACAGGAGCCCTAGGGAAGACTCATTTATAGACTCCATATGGTTCTCCCAGTCGAATGATACCACTCCTTCTGTGGTCTCACATCCGCCTTGTGCCCAAACCCTCTCCCACATCCATGTTCCAAGGTAGAGATGGACCACCCCAATAAACCCACGGTCCACTCCAGGGAGGGAAGGAAGGAGCCATCTAAGGAGGCCAGGAGCCATCCCAGGCGTCTTTCGAAGTCAAGTCGAGTGAAAACCATGCCTTCTAGGTCTTTCTGTTTCCCAGTTGAGTGGTTTAACATCGACAGGAAACCCATAAACCATGGGATGAACCAGATTGAACCAGCACGACGGAAAGGTTGGTGTATAATGGTGTATAGACATCCCTCACTATTGTCCTTCCAATAACCACCCTTTCCGTCGTGCTGGCATTGGTTTCATGAACATTGGTTTCATGAATTTGTCTATTGGCCCACAAAATCTACAGAGGTTTCAACCTCATTAGGAAGTATTAGCGGGTGAATACCATGGGTTTCCTGCAACTGTTCCGGAACCAACCCTGTTTGAGACTTCCGCTACGCTACCGCCAACGCTACCAGAAACCGGGAAGGTCTCACCCAACTCAGAAGGGTGAACAAACCGCCCATCTGTACGTTGAGGATTTCGTGTCGACTGTCTATGTGGGGGCCTAAGTCGGTCGACATGTTCCATTTCCATCTATGTCGGTGTGTAGTGATAGGCTAGCCATCCGTATGAAGCGAAAGTGCCTCATTGACCATTCTCCAAGAAACTCACATACATAGCCTGAGTGTGCCAAAACTAAAATAGAATGCGGCAGGCATGGGATTTGAGGGATTGCCATGTTCCACGCCAACTGACAAAGATTGACAATGGCCCCGTTGCAAAGGATTTAGCCCAGCAACCATGTTCCCATTCCGAATCAGTGACTTGGAGCGTGGAACTGATTCGAGCAAACAAACTTTCATCAAAAACGCAATAATTATCCCAATATTCATCATTTGTTGATCTGTCGTTCCTAGTCTTCTGTCGAGGTTTAAAAATTATCCGCGAAACCGTGCACGAAAGAGCGGCAGCCAGGGTCAACAGGAATCACTATACAGTAGTCCTGTTGGTGGGTACTCTGGTATTCCTTGATTGATTGGGTAAAAACAGTGTTTCTTGATCGTGGTCTCGGACCTGCCTCTACAGTGCTCAACTGAATGTCCACGAGGCAAATCCTGGTCTCATTATTGATCTGGCCGTTGAAATGTTCTGGATCAAATCCTGAGATGTTCTGGATCAAATCCTGAGATGTTCGGGATCAAATCCTGAGATGTTCTGGATCAAATCCTGAACTGTTCCGGATCAAATCCTGAGATGTTCTGGATCAAATCCTGAGATGTTCTGGA